GAAATTTACTTTATATATATATATATATATATATATATATATTGGTCGTTTTTCAAAAAGCCTAAAGAAATCTGTTGTGTTACTTCTTCAGTTATATTCTCACATAGGCATATTATCATTATCTCAACTGTTTTCCAAATTTTCTTCTCAAATATCATTTACAGTGTACTTTGTTGGAAAACTGCAGTACTCATAATGTATTCTAGTCTCCGATCTCTGTTGTTGATTTGCTTTGGAATTCGCTATGGATATAAGAAAATTTTGCTCAAATAAATCTGTAAATAATAATCCTTTTTCTTTTTGGGTTTCGTTTTCTTTTGATTTTGAAGTGAAACATTGAATAAAATGTGTTATCAGACTTTGTTTACTCGTTTGAACATGATGGACCATATGAGTATTACTATTATTGTTATTATCATCACTTATTATTAATATTATTAATATTATTCACATTAATATTATTGTTATTGTTACTATTGATGCATAATGTAGAACAAAGGTTAGTTGGCTACATCAAATGGCTGAAGTTAATGAAAGATTTTACAACAAATGATGCATCCATTTACTCCTGCAAGCAACTGTAGTTGTACAGGGGTGGGCTCTGTTTACCTGTAGTTTTTAGAACTTTTGGTACTTAATAAAGTTCGAGATGTGGTCATCAGTTTGGCGTTTCAGCGCAGTTATTTCTGGTTGTCGAGTGAGGAGGCTTTTTTCTTTAGAAGCAGTAACATCTGAGTGAGTTTTCGGCATACACTTTTCGTTTCGACAAAAGACGCAGTCACTGTTTTTTGTAGTAAGAAAAGGCTCTTCTTGCAGAAAGGAAGCTGGACAGGACCTAATGAAAATGGAGTGACACTAGCATTATATAGTTACTAAACACTTTGATTCTTTATAGACAGATACAGGTTGGCTGAGGTTTTATTGTTTTTAATAAAAGCACCAGATGAAATACCTCAAAAACGAGGACAGCTATAGCAGAAATGCCAACAAATGTTGCATCAGTTGCAACTCGGTGTCGTATTTCGTGGCCGCATCCCTGTAATGGTTAAAAAAGCGACTGCGTACTTAGCATTTCTTAGTTGACTTGAAACACCTCAGTGATCTGGATTTCGTGTTATTTGTTCCAAAAAAATTTGATTTGAAACGGGTCTCATTGGCCGCGGCAAACATAAAAGTCTTTATTTACCATCTACGATTTGATTTGATCATCAATTTATAAGCTTTCTGCTTCGAAAAGGCTTTTTTTGTTCTAATATGTTCGACGAGATCTACGTTTGAGAAACGCTTAAAAGCATTCTTATTTTAAACTTTATTTGCTACTGGGTTTAACGAGCGTACTGAAATTGCTGCCAAAATTTTAGAAGTTCTTGACACTAGCTGATAAATGAACAAGTAACAACTAACTGTATCATAATTTTCTGCATGACATTCGTATTCCTCCAAAACCTCTGTTCTGTTTGTCCACAGTAACCAGTCTTTATAACTTGTTACACCGCAACATTTAAGCTAAGATGAAACAGGATAAAATTATTATTAGGAAGACTAACCGATGATGAAAGTTGAGAGGATGGGAGACTATGGTGGTAGAATTTTCAGCATCAAGTTTATTTTTCAGCAGCAGGAAAAAACCGAAATAAAGCGGAATAATTAAATGTTTGTTGAATTTTTCAATTGGAAAAGAAAATGATTATTATTATCCCAAAAAAGTGTTTATATCGTGGTCTAAATCGTGGTCTTTAACAAGTTGTACTGCCTTTTTAGTGTTAAAGTAAACTTTCAGAAACGCAGAATGTAAAGGTTGCTTTGATTTAAGTTGAATATAAAATGACTTTTGGGGAGGTACTTTAAACTTACAGTTCTTTGTGTTACTGTCCAAAATTCAGTGTCAATATCCTCTTGACGTTGTGGTGGTTTCACTCCTCCGTGTTGTGTCCAGTAGTCCATTGTACGATTGGCTGATTTAAACAGAAGATCGTCTGCTTCTAGTTGATTGATCTCATCACTGTAGGTGAATGACATTAAACCAACAATCAACTGAACCACGACCATTATGGCAACTGCTGCTGCATACTGAAGAAA